GGGATTACAGGCATGAGTCACCATGCCCAGCCTCATCTGCTGATTTAAATGTTAACCTTAGGCTGGGTGCGATGGCTCACGTCTGTAATCCCAGCACTTTGGGAGGCTGAGGTGGGTGGATCACAAAGTCAGGAGATCGAGACCATCCTGGCTAATAAGGTGAAACCCCGTCTCTACTAAAAATACAAAAATTAGCCGGGTGTGGTGGCGGGCACCTGCAGTCCCAGCTACTCGGGAGGCTGAGGCAGGAGAATGGCGTGAACCCAGGAGGCAGAGCTTGCAGTGAGCTGAGATTGTGCCACTGCACTACAGCCTGGGCAACAGAGCGAGACTCTGTCTCAATAAATAAATAAATAAATAAATAAATAAATAAATAAATAAATAAATAAAGTTAACCTTAGCCAGGTGCAGTGGTTTACGCCTGTTTTCCCAGCACTTTGGGAGGCCAAGGCGGGCGGTTCATTTGAGCTCAGGTGCTCGGGTCAGCATGGCGAAACCCCATCTCTACTAAATATATAAAAATTAGCCAGGCATGGTGGCTTGTGCCTGTAGTCCCAGCTACTCAGGAGGCCGAGGCACAAGAATCACTTGAACCCAGGAGGTGGAGGATGCAGTGAACTGAAATTGTGCCACTACACTCCAGCCTGGGTGACAGAGCAAGACTCTGTCTCAAAAATAAGAGTACGACAAATGTGCATGTTTGTTTATAGTCACATAAAGTCATTCTGGAAGGATACATAAAAACTAAAAATAGACGTTCCCTATTAGAGATGTGCTGGGAACAAGAAAATTTTTCACTTTTTATGTGTTTTTTTTAAAATCATATATATGTTTTATCTATTGAAAACATTAAGTAACAAAGTTTAAATAACCTTGCATGCCTTCCTCTCCTGTAGGGTTGTGAACACTGGAGGGAACAAATCATATTTTATACTCACTTTTGTATTCCTGGTATTTAGTACGTAGTAGGTACTCAATAAATATTAGAGGAAAGAACAAATGAATGAACCGGAAGATAGCGGATTTAGTGTCAGTTAGAGAGAGGAGAGGGGCCAAGCACTGTAATCCCCAGCACTTTGGGAGGCCGAGGCAGGAGGCTCACTTGAACATAGGAGTTGGAGACCAGCCTGGGTAACAAAGCGAGAGCCTGTCTCTACAAAAAAAAAAAAAAAAAAAAAAAAAAAACCAGGTGCAGTGGCTTACACCTGTAATCCCAGCACTTTGGGAGGCCGAGGTGGGTGGATCACCTGAGGTTAGAAGTTCGAGACCAGCTAGATCAACATGGTGAAACACCATCTCTACTGAAAATACAAAAATTAGTTGGGCGTAGTGGCAGGTGCCTGTAATTCCAGCTACTCAGAAGGCTGAGGCAGGAGAATCGCTTGAACCTGGGAGGCAGATGTTGCAGTGAGCCGAGATCATGCCACTGCACTCCAGCCTGGACGACAGACCGAGACTCTGTCTCATTAAAAAAAAAAAAATTAGTTGGACATGGTGGTATGCACCTGTCTTCCCACCTGTTCAGGAGGCTGAGGTGGGAAGATTGGTTGAACCTGGGAGGCCGGGGTTGCAGTTAGCCAAGATTGTGCCACTGCACTCCAGCCTGGGCAACAGAGTAAAACCCTGACTCTAAAAAAGAAGGGTGTTATGGCTGGGCGCCACCGGCGGCTCACGGCTGTAATCCCAGCACTTTGGGAGGCCGAGGCTGGTGGATCACCTGAGGTCAGGAGTTTGAGACCAGCTTGACCAATATGGTGGAACCCCGTCTCTACTAAAAATACAAAAATTAGCCAGGCGTGGTGGCACGTGCCTGTAATCCCAGCTACTGGAGAGGCTGAGACAGGAGAATCACTTGAACCAGGGAGCTGGAGGGTGCAGTGAGCCGAGATCGCACCACTGCACTCCAGCCTGAGTGACAAAGCAATACTCTGTCTCAAAAAAAAAAAAGAAAAGAAAAGAAAAAAAAGAAAGAAAAGTTTTTTAAAAATTTAAAAATAAGGGAGTTATTATCTTATCTAATGTAATCACAAAAGTTGACATCCTATCACATTTGCTGTATTCTACTTATCAGAAGCAAGTCACTAAGTCCAGCCTATATTCAAGGAAAGGGATACACATGGGGGTGACGACCAGGAGTCAGGGATTACTGGGAGCCACGTTAGGAGCTGTCTACCACAAGGAGGAAAAAGCAATGGAAGGATGAAATCTAGGATGGTGGTTATATCTGAGTGGAAGCAAGGGGGAGATGCAAGAAGCACATGGCAGGTGTAAGTTATTTGTAATAATTCCATTCTTGGGGCAGGAGGTGGGTTTATAGGTGTTCATAAGTGAGTTGATTATGGACAAATGGGGAGAGAGTGTCATGAACAAAGGATTATATTTAGTCCCATTCAGTAATATTTAAAATATTCAATAATAAATGAAATAAAAATTGCTGACTACTCCTGACCTTGTTCTGAGCCCCATCCATGTGCTCCACCTGGTCTTAGGTTAACACTGGCTCCACCTGACCCTCCACTTGCCCTGAACTAACCATTAGCCCTTCACACACACTGACCCTTGCTCTAGCACCATGATCTCTCCATAGTCTGCAATGTGCCCCCAGAGTTCTATTTTCTGAAACTTTTATCCATGTAACCTCACCTGTAGGCTGCTATATGTAAAGCTAGTAGGAATGGCTGATGGAGTGGCCCAAGGACCAGGAGACAGGGCAGGCTAATAGTTCTGCCTTAGCAGTAGCACTGTGGGCCCAGAATACAGGTTTGATGACTGGTGTCACAACCTCACCTGTTGGCCTCCTGCATGGCAGAGGCTGGGCCAGGTCCTGAAGGTTCTTCCTCTTTCAGGCCTCTGCTCCTGGTATCCAGATATAGCTAAGTCTGTCTCTGAGAAGTGCACCTCTGCCACAGCACCAGGCCTGTAACTCCCTTGTTGGTAGCAGATTATCAACTCTCTCCCTTCCTGGCTTTGATGAAGTAAGCTACCATACTAGAGATGGCCATGTGTCAAGGAAATGACAGTGGCCATCAGCCAACAACCAGTAAAACACTAAAGCCTCTAGTCTGACAGCCCACTAGGAAGTGAATTGAGTCAACAACCAAGTAAGCCTGAAAGCCTAGATCCTTCCCCAGTTGTGCCTTCAGATGAAACTGCAGTTCTGGTTGGCCCTTTGCTTCCAGCCTTGTAGGAAAGAAACACTGAAGCAGAGGACCCAGCCAAGCCTTGCCTGGACTCTTGACCCACAGAAAATGTGAGATATAATAATAAGTATGTGTTGTTCTAAGCTGTTAAATTGGTGGTAATTTGCTACATAGTAAGGGATAACTTGTACAGGTTCTTTTCAATTCTTTTGCTATTACAAAGAGTGCTCCTATAGGCTAGATATGGTGGCTCATGCCTGTAATCCCAGCACTTTGGGAGGCCAAGGCAGGTGGATGACTTGAGGTCAGGAATTTGAGGCCAGCCTGGCCAACATGGTAAAACCTGTCTCTACCAAAAATATTAAAAATTAGCCAGATCTGGTGGCATGTGCCTATAATCCCAGCTACCTGGGAGGCTGAGGCAAGAGAATCGCTTGAACTCAGGAGGTGGAGGTTGCAGTGAGCCGAGATCGTGCAACTGCACTCCAGCCTGGATGACAGAGCGAGACTCCATCTCAAAAAAAAAAAAAAGAAAAAACAAACAAACAAAAAGAGTGTTGCTATGAACGTTGCTGTTACATGTCTCCCACAACACAGAACACAAGAGGCTAAGTTTCCCTTGGGTGTGTGCTGAGTATATATGCCTAGGAACAGAATTGTTGGATCTCAGGATGTTTGTTTTGTTTTGAGACAGAGTCTCATTATGTTGCCCAGGCTGGAGTGCAGTGGTGTGATCTTGGCTCACTGAAACCTCTGCCTCCCAGCTTCAAGCAATTCTCCTGCCTCAACTTCCCAAGTAGCTGGGATTACAGGTGTCTGTCACCACGCCTGGCTAATTTTTTGTATTTTTAATAGAGATGAGTTTTCACCATGTTGGCCAGGCTGGTCTTGAACTCCTGACCTCAAGTGACCCACCCGCCTTGGCCTCCCAAAGTGCTGGGATTACAGGCCTGAGCCACCACACCCGGATGGATCTTAGGATTTACAAATGTTCCACATTACTGGTAGTCAGAAAACCATTAAAGTTAGGGTCACGCCATGGCTGTAGTGTGTGGGCCAGGGTTAGGAGTAAAGCTTGGCCTCAATCCATTGAAGTTGGGATCATCTGTGGGCAGGGTTGGAGTTGTACAGGAGTAGGGAGGACAGTCCTACAGAGGGCCGGGTTAGGGGTCATACATAGGGTTGACCGTGAGTGCGTGGCAACATTTGGGAAGAATCTGAAACCTGGGTTTGAGGTTGGGTTTGGACAAGGTTGGAGAATACTGTGAGGGTGGGTTTGGGGGTCAATCTAAGGCCAGGGTTAGAAGTTAGGCTGTGGCGGGGTGCGGTGGCTCACGCCTGTAATCCCAACACTTTGGGAGGCCAAGGTGGGTGGATCACGAGGTCAGGAGATCGAGGCCATCCTGACTAACATGGTGAAACCCTGTCTCCACTAAAAACACACACACAAAAAATTAGTCAGGCGTGGTGGCGGGCACCTGTAGTCCCAGCTACTCAGAAGGCTGAGGCAGGAGAATGGCGTGAACCCGGGAGACGGAGCTTGCAGTGAGCTGAGATCTCGCCACTGCACTCCAGCCTGAGGCTTTTTTGGACAGTTAATTACATCTCCTCAGAGCCAGACTCAAAAAAAAAAAAAAAAAAAAAAGTTAGGCTGTCATCCTGCCCATAACCTGACCCCTGGTGATATCATCAACCTACCAAGCTGTGGCCACACAGGACCCAGCCACCCACAAGATGAGACCCACTCTGGGTCCAGAAAGCTCTTTCACTCAAGGCGGAGGTGGGGAGATCGAGGACAAGGGAAGCAGAAACTCCCTCCCCTCAGAGATCAATGCAGAAAGAAAAGGCAGGCACAGGAAATAGAACAGAACACTAACTTTAATGGGGCAGCCCTGAGCCTTATCCTTCAAACCTTCCCCCTCAGTACCCCGTGTGCGAGGAGGGAGGGGCGACTGCTACAGGCACATCGTTGATGTCCTCCCTCCTCCTGGCGATCCCACTCCTCACCCTTTCCTCTCCAGCTGCTGCGGTCTCCATCGCCGAGGTGGGTCCCAGGTAAGCTCCCAGGAGGGGCAGGGGAGCCCCTCAGCGACCCAGGGCAGATTCCCCCATGGCTGAGGGCATGGGGAACTAGCCCGGGTGGAGACGCAGCCGTCCTCGGAGCTGCGCGGGTACCTGATTCTGGGGGTGTGGACAGAGCCACGGGACCGCCCCCCCAGGCCCAGCGCGGGGGGCTGTAAGGCCGGGCCCGAGGTGTTGGACACTGCTTTGGGGGGCAGGCTAGGTCTCTGCACGTGGCTTCTGGGCTCTGGAAAGCGGTCCATTCTCCTGACCCGGATGGAGTGGGAGGAGGCGGCTCAGTCCCGGGCCTCCGCTCCCAGAGTTCCTGTCCCACCTCCTCCCACGCTCACCCATCCCAAGGAAGGAGGGCACTCGGGCCCCAAGAGGCTCCTGAGAGCAGCGGGCTCCGCCCTCCCAGTGGTCTGTCCATCGGTGGGTGGGTCGGGCGCGGAGTCGGGGCTCTGGCGGGTACCGGAGCGTCCCCGCGCGGCCCGGGCAGCCGCTCACCGCTGCTTCCGCTCCGCCTGCTGGAGCCGCCGGGAGAGGTCTTCGATCCGCACGTTCTTGAGCTGGAGCAGGTGCTCCAGGCGCCTTACCTTCATCTGCAGGACCTAAGCCGCGCCGCACAAGGGTCAAGTCCGGCGGCCTGCTCCCTCCTACCTGGCCTCTGCTAGCCACGACCCCCCACCCGCAGCCTTCCTAGACCCCTCACCTGCACGGTCTCCTGCGAGGCCAACAGCTCCTGCTCCTTTTCAGCGATCTGGAGGACGAAGCTCGGGTCGCCCTGCAACGCCTGGTTATACGCCGGAGGCCGAGGCGCCGGAGGCCGTACCCCGCTGGGGTGGGAAGCAGCTTAGCCGAGGCTTGGACCTCGGGCCCTACACTCACCCTTCCAGTGCCCTCGACCAGGCCTTCCCTTCTCCCCCTCTAGCCCCTTTCGTGCCTCAAGCTCAGCCTACCCTGCCCCCCAACCCCAGCTGTGTGCAGAGATCACCAGCCTGATGAAGTCGGGAACTCCCAGCTTCTTTACCTGAGCTGACCCTCTCCCTGGGGGTCCAGGGCACCTTCACCTCGGGCCTTCTGGGATAAACCTGAGACAAGGCAAGTGGAGGAATGACTGTGCTGGAGTCTCACTTTCCTGCTTCCCCCGCCCCAGTTCCACTCTCACAAGCGACAGGAAGAAGGACAGAAGGAAAGCTCCACTGGGGAGGAAGAAATGGAAAAGGCCACCTTACCCACATCCATGTAGCCACTGCCATCCTGGGGAGCCAGCTCCTGAAAGAACCCCGGGGTCCGCTGTGAGCCCAGGCTCAGTCATCCCCAAGGAGCCCTATGTCCCTTCCACCGGCCCCCAGGCCAGACTCTATTAGCCAAGCACCCCTCCCCCACACTTATCACCCAGGCTGGCCTTTCTGTGGTCGGGGGAGTGCCCCCCACCCAGCCCCCAGAGCAGTGGGAGAAGCTCGAGCGGGGTGGCACCTGTAAGGAGCCAGTGCCCTGCTTCCTGCGCCTCTGCCTCTCCTCCAGGCGCTGCCTCAGCGGTATAAGCACCAGCTCCACCACACCTGGGGCGCACTCTGCGATCTTGCGCATCACGTCATCCGGTACTGAAAAGTTCAGCCTCTTCAGCACCTTCCTGAGGGGTAGACACAGGGATAGCGGATTGGGTCCTGGGGAAATGAAGCGAGGGGACGGGGGGAGAGGAAAGGGGGCATGGTGGTTGCAGTTCTGAGTGCACAGCCCTGGGGGAGTGGAAGGGCATCGCATCTGAGCTTCCTTGTGTGGGTGTCCCGAGGTTCCTTGCCTCCTTCCGAATAGAATTGTCTTTTCATTTTGTAATCGGACGAATTCTGTCTGCGTTGACCCTCCCCACCCTGCCACCAAAACAGTCTCAGCCTGGGCAACCAAGACCATAGGAGATGATGGGGCTGGGGTAGTCCTTCCTGGGAACCCAGGGTGGGGGCTAGAGATTCCCACTCCTGCACCCAGGTATTCTGTTACCTGTTCAGATGACCCCAGTTGCTGAGTTTCTGCTGGAGAGAGTTGGCGGGGACATAATTGTGCATCTCCACCATCTTGGGGAAGTAAAACTTGATGACCTCTGCAACTAGGACTGAGGGAGAGGGGAGCAGATATGGAAGGTGGGGGCATGGGTAAGGAAGGAAGAGGGGAGAGAAGGTGGGTGGGAGAATCAGGCATGGCAGAGCAGTGGAACCCAATGGAGGGGTGGAGATGCAGAAAGGGGAAGGATAAGGAGGGAGACAAAAACATTAAGATTAGTCATAGGTAGAGGAGACTAAGTCTCCAGCATACCTCAGAGGAGCTGCATCCCTTCCCCATGAATTTAGGAACGGGAATACTGAGTCCCTGGTCCTCTAGTAGAGAATGAGTCAGCCAGCACAGTGGCTCACACCTATAATCCCAACATTTTGGGAGGCTGAGGCAGGCGTATCACCCGAAGCCAGGAGTTCGAGAACAGCCTGGCCAACATGGTGAAACCCCATCTCTACTAAAAATACAATAATTAGCTGGGTGTGGTGGTGCATGTAATCCCAGCTACTTGGGTGGCTGAGGCAGAAGAATCGCTTGAACTTAGAAGATGGAGGTTGCAGTGAGCTGAGATCATGCCATTGCACTCCAGCCTGGGCAACAAGAAAAAAAAAAAAGAGAGAGAGAGAGAAAACAAGTCTCCAAGAGAGGCTTTCAGGAGCCCAGGGAATTCACATGGATGCATGATACACACACACACACTCCAACACCACAGTTCCAGGAGAGTAAAAGAGTCACATAAGCAGAGACACATGTGATAAGATCTCTCTACATATAGATACATAGGGCAGAATGTGTAGACACATACAACAAACACATGCTAGGCACACATGTAAAACACACATAAACAGAAGCACAAAAAGCCACATATGCACACAGCCTCCCCAAATATAGAGATGCACAGAAGTACTTGACATGAGATGACAGGTAAGTATTTGTGTCACTGAGACCCCAGGAGACATTCCTAGAAACACAAACACCTTCACAAGCACAAAGAAACACAAGCACACAAACCCCCACAAATACAGGACTAAACATGTCAACACACATATGAACACACACATATGAACACACACATACTCAGACTCCCACAAGACAAATATAGAACACATAGCAATGAGTGAGCACATACAGAAATGCACAAATAAATATGCAGACACATATCTTAATCACTAATGTCCCTGGAGGGAGTTAGAGGCACATCCCCCCACATGCACGCAGGATAGAACATGTAGACATACATATATGGGCACACATCGTTCACACACAGATGCAAATAGAAAACAAGCACACACGTCTACAATTTGAAGTTCCAGGAGACAGATTCCTCCCCACCCCTACACGCACACAAACACAAAGAGTTTGCACAGAGACCCATCACACACGAACATACAGGACAGAACATGCAGACACACAGGGGCACACACCTCCATCACTAAAGTCCCGGGAGAGGTTTCGCTTGGGCCGGGACAGAGGTATGTTGTCTACCCACAGGTACAGCTGGTGCAGCGCCTCCTCGTCCACGCTGCTCGCCATTGGCGTCCTCAAGGCCTGGCCGCCACAGCGGTGCCGGGTCCAGCCCCAGCCTCACGACCCTTCAGGCACTTCCTTTCTTGCCACTGCAGAAGCCCGTAACTGCCTCTGCCTGCCTAATCCAGAGACTCACGTCCCAGCTGGGAGCGGCCATATTGTTTTCTGAAACCATGGAAACCATCCCCTGCCTCGCCTGGGAGCAAAGACTTCTGGGAGTTGTAGTTTTATCCCCTCCCCGCTACCTCCTCTCAGGCCCGAGCTTTGAAAAGGCGGTTAGCTGTCCTTTTCTTCTTCCCAAGAAAGCATCACTTCTGTGCCCACGCCACCTGCTGACCAGTCACTCACCCACTTTGGGACCAGCCAAAGCCAATCAGGCCCTCAGAATTCCTGCATCTGCACACCTAGGGTGGGGATTCCCCTTCTTGGCCCTTTAGCCCTTTAGTCCCAAATGAAGGGAGCACTCCAGTGTTTGTCAGCTTTATTTGGGGGTGCACTGTTGATAATCTGCCACTCAACTGGATTGCGTGGTACAACTGCTTCCTGCTTCGTCCCTCTTCAAAACTCTATGCTCATGGGGTCATCGCCACTCGCCCTTCCCAGCAGTGTTCTAGTGGGGTATTTAATAGGTAACCCAGACTCCCAGGGAGAACACCAGAGTTCAAGGCCAGTACCTTGGGCAGGTCATTTAACTTCTTAACTCCATTTCCTCCTTTGTGAAATGACGATGGTTCTCACTTATTTGTCCCAAACCCCTCATCTCCCGTCAATGAGCTAGCTATTCTTCCATGGATCAGAAATTCATTTCAGGCAGGGCACAGTGGCTCACGCCTGTAATCCCAGCACTTTGGGAGGCCGAGGTGAGCAGATCACCTGAGCTCAGTAGTTCGAGACCAGCCTTGCCAACATGGCAAAACCCCGTCTCTACTAAAAATGCAAAAAAGTTAGCCAGGTGTGGTGGCGGGTGCCTGTAATCCCAGCCACTGAGGAGGCTGAGGCAAGAGAACCGCCTGAACCCGGGAGTCAAAGGTTGCAGTGAGCTGAGATCGTGCTATTGCACTCCAGCCTAGGTGACAGAGCGGGACTCCATCTCAAAAAAAAAAAAAAAAAAAAAAAAAAAGAAAGAAATTCATTGCAGTACCCAGTTCCATTCCAAAACAGCACTACCCTTAGGAGGGTTAGGAATATGAGTCCCTCCTTAGTGAAGAGGTACTTCTAGAGTCAGGATGGGAAAACAGCTTGACTAACCGCGTGGCCTTGGGCACCTGATCAGACCTCTGCCTGGTTTCTCTTGGCTTTACCTACCTTATAGGGGCTTTGTGAGCATCTAAAGCATTTAGCACAGAACAGGGCCCCTATTAGTATCAGCTGGTACTATCATTAATGAGACAGTCTCAGTTCCAGCAAGAAGTGTTCTTTTTCACAGGAGACAAATGGAAGTAATTCACCTTGTTGGAACCTGCGGTGAGGGAGCTGGGTTAAACAGGAGCACCTGGGCAAGCAGGCCATGCTCCCTCCTGCTCACTCCAGAGCAGGTGGGGCTTACTTGTAGCTTTCTGGTCTCCAACTCCAGGGTTCAGATTTGGGGTGGGAAGGTGGTGGCAAGGGGGATCCCAACTACTTTTTGTTGTCACTTCAAAGTCCTCAAGGCCTGGAGGGGATTCCTGAATGCCAGAAGTGCAGGCCAAGAGTGGAAGTCACACCCATTTCTAGTTTTAAAGTCATATATAGTGGTGTTGATTTTCCACAAGGGGCAATAACCAGGGCATGCCAGGGACAAGAGATGAACTGGATACTCCCCCATTAACATTCCCAGTGTTGGAGGAGAAACTTGGTGGTGAGGGCGGGCTGGGGCTGGGAAGGAAACACAGAAGTGATGTGCCAGCCTCAGGTGAGGTGGGAAAACCGGTTTGGGGCCCAGAGCTGCCAGCCTTGCTTAAGCCCAGGCCCTTCCCCGCTTGGAACCGCTGGGGCCTCAGTGAGGAAGGGGTAGGGAGGGGCTGGCTCTGAAAGGAAAAATGGTAGGATCAGCAAAGGGACCTGACCTCACCTTTGTACTGGGGCCCCCCTGGAAGGCACTGCACAGGGAGTGACCAACTCATTCTCTGCCTCTTGGGGGTGCAATCTGTTCCTAGCAATTTCACCTTCCTCCTGCCACTGTGCCCAGAGGTGGCCACCAGGCTTGGAGATGCCAATCACTGAAAGGCCTAAAGGGCTCTCTCTTAAGGCACCAAAGGTAAACCAAAGGTGCCCTCTATGCCCCTCCAAACTCCAATCTGGACCCCAGAAGCTGCCCCAACACTCCTTTCTGTCCTGACTTCACTCCTGCAAAGGCCTTCAAACCAGCCTCCGTAGGCCTAGTCCCCATGTGCATATGGATTTGCCCCCAGAGACTAATGGCTCCCTCCCTCCTGCCCCAGCCAAGTGATCCCAAGCTTGAGGTCTCCTCCTGCCCCTCTTCGGGTCAGGGCCACCCTCTCAACACTTGCCTCCATGTCCCACCAAAGCAAGGACCAAAGGAAGTCAGGACAAATATGTCCCCCAAGACAGACGCAAGCCCAGACCATGAAGGATGCACCCTTGGCTGTTAAAATGTTCACCCCCACAAAAGGGGAGTGGACAGATTTATTGAAATCAAACTGGGAAAGGAGCAGCTGGATGGCTGGACTCTGGGCCCAGCCCCAGGCCCCTCTGCCCAGGATGGGACCCTGCCAGAGAGGGAAGAGAGGCATGGGGCCTGCAGCTGCCCACAAAAGGGAAGCGCCCATTGTCACTCCCATGGTGGGGGACCTCTTGGAAACCTCCAATCTGGAGAGAAAACCAAGGGCCAAAGTCACATGGACAGGGCCAGAGAAAGGGACTGGGGAGGTGGAAAGCAGGCAGAAGCAGGCTCAGGAGCCCGTGGTGAGTTAAACTGTGCTTCTCGAGGCGGCCCGGGGGGTGGGGGTAGGGGCTGCCAGCCTTGCAGGGGGCCTAGGCTGGACCTTCCTCTGGAGCCCTTCCCAGAATGGCTTTGGGGTCCCCTCCGCACCAAAGACCTGGTGGCAGAGGGGAGAGGCACTCTCCGGCCGGGAACCTCCAGGGCCCACCCCTGGCTGCTGCTGTGGTTAGTCCACTGAGGGCACGGTGTGGTAGCACCGGACAGCTCCCCACCCACCCCACCTGGTCCCCTGAGCCCAGGGCCAAATGGGGAGGAAAGAGGATTCTGAGAAAGAGGCAATAAGCAGGCAGTGAGGCTGAACTCAGCCCCCGGCCCGGCCGAGGTGACCAGGCCTGTTGCAGGGCCAGGGGAAGCATTACTAAAGGATCTGGGGCTCCACACTCTGGCTCCATGCACAGCGGGTGCCCAGAGAGTCCTCTGCCCTGGGGTGGTGCTGCCAATCTAGGTTGGGGGCACAGCTAGGTCCAGTGACTCAGCTTTGATGTCCAAGACCCCGAACTCCCGCCTGCCTGGCATGGTTCTTCCTGGTCACGTGAACCAGATCGTGTTCCAAGTGGAGGATGTGGCTCTGCACGCGGTCGTCAATGGGGAAGGAGGTCAGGTACCTCTTGACCATGGCGAAGTAAGCCATGGCCTCCCCAAAGCTGGGTACAGGCACCTCATCACCATCCTCCTCCTCATCATCGTCATCTTCATCTTCATCATCCTCTTCCTCATCGTCCTCCTCTTCCTCACTGTCCGAATCAGAGTCCTCCCCACCTTCCAGGAAATGCAGAGTAGGGCACTGGGCCTCCTCCTGGGTACCATAACCCCCGAAGCTGCCACCGGCCTCCACTACTCCCTGGGCCCAGTCCTCAGCCTCCAAGCCCTCAGAGGAGCTCTCCTCATCTTCCTCCTCTTCTTCATCACTGTCATCAACATCACCCTCCTCCTCTACCTCCTCTTCCTCCCCCAATTCCTCTCCTTCCCCTGCTTCCTCCTCCTCCTCCTCTCCTTCCTCCTCCTCCTCTTCCTCTCCTTCACCCTCCTCCTCCTCCTCCTCTTCTTCTTCCTCCTCCTCCTCTTCCTCTTCCTCCCCCTCGCTCTTGAGGGAAGTGGTGATGGTGGCATTAGGGCCACCCCCAAAGCCAGCCTCACGAAAGCAGGCGGCTATGTCCGAAGGCTCCACTGCCTGCCAGGCGGCAGCCACAAAGTGCAGGGCCTCCGTGAGACCCAGCTGCAGGCCTGAGCGATCCTGGCCCTCTAGCGCGGCCATGGCCTTGAGCAGCATGGCCTGGCGATAGTGGCCCTTCACCTGCTGGACCACTCCCCTCTCCAGCGGATGCACGGTGCCCGGCGGGAAGAAGGCCAGCTGCACATGCCGCAGGCCCGAGGTGTCCAAGGACTGAGCAGCCAAGCGGCCGGCCAGCAGTAGGACCCGGCGAGACTCTGCAGCCATTCGGGTGTCCAGGGCCTTCAAGTACTTGGCCAGGGCCTGGGTAGTGACACCACCCTTGGAGTTGGCGGTGTAGTCGCAGGGCAGGCCGGCTTGGCCTGCGCGGGGCTTCGCCGACTTGCCGGCCACCAGCGGGGGCAGCTTCTCGCTGCCATCGGCATTGGCGCACAGCAGGACGCTCAGGCGCTGGGTGGCTTGACGCGGCCGTCCGTCGCCTCCGCACAGCCCCGCGGCCTGGTCGGGCAGAAAGTCGTACCATAGACTGGTCTCGGTGGCGCTGAACACGTCCTGCGAGGCGTAGCCCTCGGCCACCGACGGCGGCTGCTCCTCCCGAGCGCGCCAACCAGTAGTGCTCCCGCCACTGCCCTCCGAGGGCACCGCGGCCGGGCTGGCAGGCGCCGCCGGGGTGCGGGGGGCAGCGTTTCGCGCGCGGGCGCGGGCCACGCCGCTGCAGGACACCACGCCGTGGCGTCGGCGGAAGCGGTCCAGCCAGCCGTTGGAGGCGGTGAAGTCGTCCATGCCCAGCTCCTCGGCTATGCGCAGCGCCTTCTCCTTGAGGATGATGCCCTTGACCGGCAGGCCGGCGGCGCGGATCTGCTGAAACCAGGCGATGAGCAAGCCCTCGAGCTTGTCGTAGGGAGACAGCTTGTTGGTCTTGCGGCAGGTGGAGGCCACCCCGTACTTGCGCTCCGACGCCAGGATGGCGCGCTTGTTCTTCAGGATCGTGCTCAGCGTGGACGGCGGGATGTTGAAGCGCCGCGCGATCTCGCCCTTGCGCAGGTCCGGATTCTCTTCCACCTCCTGGATGATCCGTGACTTCTCCCGGAACGTCAGCTGTCGCCGCTTGGGGCCCATCCCGGCGCGCCCCCCGCCCCGGGGCCCGGGGCCCGCTGGCGGGGGGGCACTGGCCGGCCCGCTCTTCCCGCCGCCCCGCCCAGAGCAAAGCGGGTCGCGGGCGCGGCGGGCCCTTGGGCCCCGACGACCCCGGCGGGCCGGGGCCACCCCGGGGGCGCCCGGCCGGCCCCGACGGTTCCGGCGGGCGGCCGGGCGGCAGGGCCGGACGGGGCCGGCCAGGCCGGAATGGGCGGGGCCCCGGGGCCGGGAAGGCAAGGAAGTGCCGCGGGCGCGGGGGGGAGCTGGGGAGCCCCCGCGGGGCCCGAAGCCGGTGGGGGGGGCGGGGAGCCGGGCCCGGGAAACGCCGGGAATCTTCGCGGGGAAGCGTGGGGGACCGCCCCGGCACCCGCCTCCCCCGGCTCGGCGCCCCCACCCAATTTCCCCGCCGCCGCCAGGACATACCGCGCGGGGGCGCTGCGGCCTGCGGGACCTTCCCGTGCTGCGGCCTCGGGCGACCCGGCAGCGACGCGGGCGGGGACGCGGTGCATCGCTACTGCGCCCGGCGGTCAACGACTTGCGGCTCAAAAAGGATAAGAAACAGGGTTTTTTTGTTTTTTTTAAATTAAGGTAAAAAAAACCCCCTTTTTTTTTTTTTTTTTTTTGCGGAA